ATAAGATATTGACCAGTTATTTTTGTTTTATCTAGACAACCCAATCTTTTGAGCAACACTACAACGCTCATCTAGAAATTTCAGCCAACCAAACTTGCACTCCATCCACTTGCTCTAGCAACACCCCGGTTAAGAGGGCCTCCATTCCTACTTTTCCTGATGATTTTTTACAAGATGATATCCTGACTCCAAAGAATTCAACAACCAAGGTGAAGCACCTCAAAAAGGAGTGACTCTTTAGTGAGTACCTCATTTTTTGTTAGATTCAAATATTTTGTTAAGATCATTTGTGTAAGGATTCATTCCAAACTTCTGCACAACTATGTTAACTACTATTGTTGAATTCAATCTTATGTACTCCCTTATGCACAAACCTATATATTATGTAATATGCCTCAGACATGTTTGTTTTGCAATCACTGATATGCTGAATTTGGTCTCTCCATTTTTGGTATGAAACTTACACTGATGCCTTGAGCATATGAGCAGGCTCATTTGAAACACAATACAAATTATTTTTGTTTCTTTGGAGACAAACCAAATAATGATGGAATGGCTATTTGTAGCAAGGTGGGGTTTCCTGATTTATTTGTAACATTCACTTGCAATCCAAATTGGCCTGAAATACAAAGATTACTTAGACCTCTTGGACTAAAACCCCAAGATCGTCCTGATGTGATTTCGAGGATCTTTAAAATCAAGTTTGATCAGCTTTTATCATATTTGACAAAGAGGGGAGTGTTAGGCAAGGTGCTTGCATGTATGTTTTCTTTTCTCACCCTAACTTTTCAATTTGTTACACATTATTAGAATTTACTTTTTACTTACTTTTTTTTATAGATATGTACACCATTGAGTTTCAAAAGAGAGGGTTGCCACATGCACATATTTTGATATTCTTGCATCCTTCTAACAAATATCCAAGACCCGAAGATATTGACAGGATTATAAGTGCTGAAGTCCCTGATCCTATGAAGGAACCAAAGCTATACAACTTGAAACTCATATGGTTCATGGCCCTTGTGGATTGGCAAATCAAAGTTCACCTTGCATGAAAGATGGGAAATGTTCAAAGTATTACCCAAAAAAGTTCCAGTCAACAACCATAGTTGATCAAGATGGCTATCCACTTTATAGGAGAAGAGACAATGGAAACACAATCGATAAAAATGGAATCATTCTTCACAGCGGACATGTAGTTCCTCACAACCCAAGTTTAGTGTTGAAGTATGAGGCTCACATCAACATGGAATGGTGCAACCAAAGTACTTTGATTAAATACTTATTCAAGTATATTAACAAGGGTTCAGATAGAACTTATGTTGTTATTCATTCTTCTGGTGATATGTCTGACGGTAAGAAGAAGAATGTTGATGAGATCAAGCAATATCTTGATTGTAGATACATTTCCCCAAGTGAGGCATGTTGGAGGATTTTCTCTTATTCTATACATGGTAGGAAATCGGCCGTGGAAAGACTATTTTTTCACATGGAAGGTGAGAATTCTATTTACTACAAAGACTTTGAGCAAATTGGTAATGTTCTACTCAAACCAAGTGTTACAGAATCTATGTTTACTGCATGGTTTGAAGTGAACAAAAAATATGATGTAGCTAAGTTGTTGACATATAGTGACTTTGTGACAAAATTTGTTTACCAAAAAAAACTAGGACTTGGAAGCCTAGGAAAAAAGGGTATACGATTGGTCTTCTTATTTGGGTTCCTCAAAGCACAGGTGAATTATTTTATTTACGAATTATGCTTACTGTTAAGAAAGGACCAATGAGTTATGAAGACATCAAAAAGGTCGATGGTTTACAACATAACTCTTTTAGAGAAGCATGTTTTGCAATGGGATTTCTATAGGATGATAGAGAATTTATTGAGGCTTTAAAGGAGGCGCATGAGTGGGGTTCTAGTTTATTTGTACGAAATTTATTTGTTACTATGTTGTTATCATCATCAATGAATAGACCTGAGCATGTTTAGAGTCAAACATGGCACTACTTAGCTGATGGTATTTTTTACGATAAACGTGTCATAACAAGAAACCTAGGTACACCCTATATGCATTTCAATTTAATACTTTTATTCACAAGTTAATTGTTATATTTACACTGTTTTGTTTTATCTATGTTAGGATTAACACTTATCGATGAAGAATTAAAACAACTTACCCTGATTAAAATAGAAACTCAGTTACAAAAGAACAATAGAAGTTTGAATGATTTCAAGTCAATGCCATATCCAAATGAATTTGTACTTTCTTTTGCTGGAAATCGCCTGATTTATGAAGAAAGGCAATATGATTCAAATGCTCAAAAAATTCTTTTTGATACTTTGTTCTCATCTCTTACAGGTAAAATGACATTCCTAAACTATATATTTTTCCAACTAATTTCATGTTTATAACTATTATATTGATAAATACAATACTTATTGTTTATACCTTATATTGTTGATAGTTTATTCCCTCAATGCCATTTATTGTAGTCAATGCCTAATAATGCTTTAAATTCTCATTTCTAAACATATTGTCACATGACTTATTTTTACAGATGAGCAGAAAGACATTTACTTTGAAGTCATGGATGTCGTAAACAGACAAAATGGTGGTGTGTTTTTTTTATATGGCTATGGTGAAACAAGTAAAACATTTATGTGGAACACTCTCGCTGCTGCTATTTGTTCTAAACATAAAATTGTATTGCCTGTGGCATCAAGTGGGATTGCAAGTCTGTTGTTACCAGGTGGAAGAACAACACATTCTAGATTTAAGATACTTGTCCCTACTTTGCATTCTTCAATTAGCAACATTGACAAAAAAGATGGTCTTGCTGAGCTTTTAAAGTTAACATATCTTATTATATGGGATGAGGCTCCGATGGCTAACAGATTTTGTTTTGAGACTCTTGATAAATCCTTGAAAGACATTATGAGTGAAATTCCATAGGCTGCAAATAAATTATTTGGAGGCAAAGTAGTTATTTTTGGTGGTGATTTTAGACAAATCTTTCCCGTTGTTCCAAAAGGTAGTAGATCTGATATTATTCATTCAACTATCAATGCTTCTTATATTTGGGATCAGTGCAAAGTCCTCAGGCTTACAAAAAATATGCGCCTACAAAATGGAACAACTTCACAACACATTGAAGAAGTTCGTATATTTTCCGAGTGGATTTTAGAAATTGGAGATGGTACCATAGGTGAGACTAATGATGGTTATGTTGAAATTAATATTCCTGAAGAGTTTTTAATTTCAAAATTTTCACATCCTATTAAGACTATTGTTGATAGTACCTATCCCGATCTCATTCATAACTACCATGACCCTAATTTTTTACAAAGTCGTGCAATCTTGGCTTCAACAATTGAAGTTGTCGATGAGATTAACCAATATATCATAGATCTTCTTCCAGGTATTATACATGTTGTGAAGTTGTTTTCATGCTAATTTCATATTTGACTTCATTTTTTAATTGTTTTATCATTTGTCTATTTTTTTTCTTTTAGGAGAAGAAAAAGAATACTTTAGTAGTGATTCTATTGATAGATCAACAACAACCGACTTTGATGCATTTGAGCATTTAACTGCTGAATTTCTAAATGCTCTTAAAACGTCTGGTTTGCCTAATCATTCTATCAAGTTGAAGATTGGTGTCACTATTATGTTGATGAGAAACTTAGATCAATTAGAAGGTTTATGCAATGGTACAAGGCTCACTGTTACAAGGTTGGCTAATCATGTTATTGAAGCTAGGATCATTTCAGGAAAGAATATAGGTAACATCATTTATATTCCAAGAATGTCTTTGTCCCCCTCTCAATCACCATGGCCATTTAAGTTAGTGAGAAGACAATTTCCCATTATTGTTTCTTTCGCTATGACAGTTAACAAATCACAAGGTCAATCGTTAGACGTAGTTGGTTTATACCTACCAAATGATATATTTAGTCATGGTCAGTTGTATGTCGCAATGTCGCAAGTTAAGACAAAACAAGGTCTTAAAATTTTGATTCATGATAAATATAACAATACCACCGCTACAACCACTAACGTTGTATTCAAAGAAGTTTTTCATAATATTTAATAGGTATAACATTGATACGCTTCTCTGTCGTAAAGCTTTCCATTACAATAATTGATGAAATTGTTCTCTAATTTTTTTTTTTAAAGTTGAACATTGTGATACCAACTCCAACGACACATTATTTTACAACATGGGTTGGATGACATTTTGTTGTTGTACTTCTCTTTTACTATTTGTTATTACTTTACTCCTTGACAACATTACTATTTCGTTAAGTTAAATTAGTTGTTTCATATACAACTTTTATGTTGTAAATTTTTATTGCTTTCTTTTTTATTGTATTCTCTTTCATTTAACTCTTATATAAATATATTTATCAAAATTATATATATATATTTACAAATTTATTTCACCAGTGTGGAAAACACAGATTTTTTTACTAGTTTAGTTTGAAAATCAATTCTAATAAGTATCAAATAATTTTCTTTTTTTATTTTATGATATCGAAAATATAAAACTGATTGTAATCTAATCGGTTACCGACATATCATGGCGTGATTGAAGAGATTTGAGGTAATCACGGTCAAAGAAAGAAAATTAAGTAGCTCAAATTTCAAAAGTAGCACTCCTCCACTGAAATAAAATATTAGCCACTACTACTATTTCTCTAATGCGTTTTTACTTTAATCTTTCGTAGGCTACCCACACACATGATTGCGGCGTGCTTGAAGAGATTTGCACAAGTGACCATGACTAATTAGCACAAGTTTTTAAAAGCAATTCCCGTTTCTCAACAACTCCACCAAAATAAAATATTACTGTAACTATATTTCTCCAACGCGCTGTTACTTTAATTCCTTTTTCTTTCTTTCTCATAAGATATTCGTTTCCCATTAACAAGTCTCTTATGTTGTTGAAATTAAAACAATAGCTACTAGTACTGACTCAATTTCATCTTTATCGCTCAAAATGGGTTTTCAAATTCCACATCACAACAAGCTTGAACCGATCAGTACGAACTCCGATTCCCTTCACAAAACATATCCTCGTGATATGCTCTTAGATATTCCGGTAATTTATCTTGTATTTGTTTTGTTCGATTCTGAAACTGATTTCAGATTTATATTATTTAATTTACATGTTTGTTTCTTGCGATGCAGTTTGGTTTTGATTTCCAGAGTGATTTGAACAAATCGTATGTTATTCGCTTAAACAAATTCATTTCAGAACAGGGCACACGCGAGGATATCCTACGACGTTGCTCATCTTTTTTAGTCTCAACTATTGTTTTTCTCGGTCTTTTCTATAATATATGGAGCAGCCTTTTCCCACTGCAAAAACAACATATTCATCGACTTTCCATATGGCCGTCCTTGCTCGGGTTGTTTGGTTTTCTGGTGTTTGTGTGTGCTGTGGCTGTAATGATTCTAGTTCGAGCAGTATTCACTCCTATGCAGAAAGCTATGCTTATCATTTTGCTTGTTTGGATGCATATTCAATCTGCTAACTCGATTCTCGAAGTTTGCCTTATATTACTCGCTGGATTGTTCATGGCGTGGTATGCTTTTGTGAAAAAGGAATCGCCAAATGATGAAAGTGATGTCAAATCATCAAATATGCTAATGAGTTGTCAGCTCAAACAATGAAATTAATGCTTGCGTTTGTGTTTTCTTTTTAATACCAGTCTTGTGTTTCTTCTAATTTGTGTATGTAATTTGCAGCTTATCTTATGATGATAAAATCAGCTCTGTAATGTGTTGTGTTGGATTTTACTTTATATTTAATACTTGTATTGAGTACCAAAGTCTCTATTCTTAAATTTTAACTTCGCTAATGTTCTAATTCATATCATCATATCAATTGCCAAATTTGCCATTTCAATCTATATATTACAATTCTATGATAAACAAATATGTAAACCTCTTGCAAACAATCTGGTTCTGAATTATAGATTCCTATGCAAACTGGTTTTTTTATTTGAACATCTCCCTATACAGCCAAGGAGAATGCACATTAATATTTGTGAATGTTGATGGTCTATCACAGAGTCCTCTCCCAGTTGAAGAATGCATCGTTAGCAATTTGGTAGTTATCGCGCAATCAAACAAAGAGCAGTGGAGAATCACTTGGTTCTTAAAACACCATATATTAAAACATCCTTTCTAGGTCTATAGTCTATAGATTTAAGTTCCCTTGGCGGCAGCAGGATTCCGGCCAAACTGAATGATCATTGGCTTGCCTTTAAATACATGTCCATTCACTAGATTCTGCAATAAAAACAACATTAAATTATTAGCAATAAAAACAGCATTAATAAGACAAAGAAGAAAATTTTGATGAATTTGACTCTTCTAAGCAGTGCTTGTGAAAATTAAGATGAATAATTAAATTATTAGCACTTCAAGCTGCATATGATGTGGTTATGATCTCCAAAAAAAAGATAGTACATAGACTATTGACTTTCTTATTTGGCAAACTATGCGGAAAAAATTATACCAACAAAAGAAGAAAATAGACTGATGAGGTCACCCCTCAGCTAGTTAATGAGCAAGCTAATAACATTCTCATAATGCTTCCAACCTCTTGAGGAGGTTCATCATGCAGTTTTCAGTCTAGATAAAGACAGTGCCCCTGGCCCTGACGGATTTGGACCTTTTGTCTTCCAAACTTTTTGGAATATCGTTCAGAAGGATGTTTTTGAAGCCACTCTTCAATTCTTCAAGGATAGATGGATGCTACTACTTACAACTCCAACAAAGTATTTCTATGTATGCAGGTTCCATGACCCCTCAGAGACACAATAGGCTTGCTTCTGTCATGAATTTTACTATTGGTCATTTTCCATTCCTGTACCTTGGGGCTCCCATATTCAAAGGCAGACCCAAGGTGTCTCATTTCCAGGGCCATCACTAACAGGATGAATAGTAAGCTGTCATCTTGGAAGGCTCAATTTCTTTCAATTGCAGGAAGAGTGTTACTTGTGAGGACTGTGATACAAAGGATGCTGCTGCATACTCTGATGATATATACTTGGCCAATTGCACTGCTCAAGGATATCGAAAGATGGTCCAGGAACTTCATTTGGTCAGGAGATACCTCTAAAAGGAAGCTAGTTACTGTTGCTTGGAAGGCTTGTTGTCAAAGCATTGAGGTTGGAGGCTTAGACTTAAGGTCTCATATTGCTCTTAATGAGGCGGCTGGTTTGATGAACTGCTGGGATATTGCAAACTCTAAGGATCAATGGGCCTTAATTCTGAGGGCTAGAGTTCACAGAGGTGGAGGGCACATCAAGCACCATGTGTCATCTTCCTTCTGGACTGGGATGAAGCAACAGTTTCATGTTTTCAAAGCAAACTCCGCTTGGCTTGTTGGTTCAGGAACTAACATTAATTTTTGGCAAGATAATTGGAGTGGAAAGTCTCTTGTGGAGCACTTAAACATCCCGGAACAATTTCATTGCCATTTGAGGACTATGCTTAGCTCTCTTATTCAAGACTCTAAGATAGTCCTGCCTCAAAAGCTCTTCTGAACAACTTCCCTAGCCTGGACCTGGTTGCTCAGAATGTTGAAGTGGCTAGACTGACAAAGGCAGGATATGAGGATTTGGTGCCCTGAGAATGATGGTCTGTTTAAACTGAAGAAAGCCTACTTGCATACATCCAACCATTCTCACACAGTTCCCCGGGGCAAAGTTATTTGGCATAAAGGAATCCCTCCCTCTACCTCTTTAATTTACTGGAGAATTATTCATGGAAAGCTACCTACGGATGAGCAAATGGCTCGTAGAGGTGTGCAATTAGCGTCCATGTGCAATCTATGCAGGAAGGCCCCAAATAGTATGAACCATGTTTTTTCCGACTGTTGCTATGCCAAGAAGCTTTGGGCCTAGTTTAGTAATTTCACGAAATTTGCGCCTATTTCTCCCATCATGGACTGTTGGGTAGCCTTAACTCCTGTCTATTTCTCCCATCTGAAGTTATTTTGCATGCAGGTTATTCAAACATATTCTCTGGTATTTGGAGGGCAAGGAACAACTCTAGGTTTAATGATATTCTAGATAGGTGGGAGATCACGGCTTCAAGGATATATTCGCAAGTAGCTCTCACTGAAAAAGTCCTCAACCCTCTCTTTTGGTGCATATTGCTGATTTCATGTTGCTTAAAGCTTTCAGGCTACTATTGTCCCTCCGACTCCCAGGTTGGTTAAAGAGGTGTTGTGGATCTCTCCTCATCGTTATTGGTTTAAAGGAAAATCCGATGGTGCTTCGACTGATAATTTGGCTTCGCGTGAGGGGATTTTTCGTAATCACAATGGTATGCACATGGGAAGTTTTTCTTGTTTCTTAGGTGCTGCGTTTTTGCAGAGATCATGGGTGTGATTCTTTCTCTGGAGCATGCTATTGCTTCTCATTGGCAACACTTTTGGTTGAAAACGGATTCAATGCTCCTTGTTCAAGCTTTCTCTAATCCTCTCTTGGTGCCTTGGAAAAATCAGAATAGGTGGCACAATTGTCTCCTAGGCAACTCTTGTATCAATTTTTTTCCCTCCCATATTTATCGGGAAGGCAACCATTGTGCAGATATTTTAACTAGTTTAGGCCTAACACTTATAAATTATACGTGGTGGGATAGCATTCACAATGATGTAAGTAATGCCTATAATAGGAACTTACAAGATTTGCCTAACTTTAGAGTTTGCTAGTTCTGAGGTTTTGGCATAGTTCCCCTCATTTTTGTACCCTTTTCCACTAATATATCTCTTGGGCCTTGCCCTTTTTGTGCTAAAAAAAATCATATATTTTTATATTATTAAATAAAACCAATAACTTGTGAGAAACATACCAGAGCTCGATGAGCCAGTTCTGTGGAGGGGAATGTTAAAAAAGCTTGACCCTTCATCCTTCCTTCCTGAAATTCAAAACTAGTTATTACTTTTGGGCTCACAAATATGCTGCTACAGTCTACAAGACTTTCATGGGACATTAATACTGTTTAGTTGAATAGGCACTATGGATCAAGTTGCACCGGTTATTATTTAAATGGACCATTTTCAAGCAAGCGAGTAAGATTTAAGTATTATCTATGAAGTACGGACACCAGACACACGTTGACACTACTAATGTAAAAAACTTAAGACACTAACATCATTTTATATATTATAATATCCGTCATTTATCCATCCCATCTACCATAGAAATAAGTTTTAAATGTTCTAATAAAATTTTATATCTTCAAGCCTTCATTGATGAACATTGCTTTGACACATCTTTAACATATAAGTTGTGTCGGAGCAAAGAAAAAAAAAATTGGGACACCTGTCACATGAGTGTCATATAGATGTTGGACACCGATTTAAAGAGTGTAGGAGCAAAGGAAAAAACTTTTTTTTTGGGGCACTTGTTTGAGTTTTCTAACATGTGTCGTATGAGTGTCATACAAGTGTCAGATACCGTGACATGCCTAATTCTAAAGGTGTCCGTACCTCATACATTATTTTTGCATACCATAAAAGAGCAAAAATTTATCACGGAATAATCAAGATTTTACCTGCATCAATTTGACTTGAAGACCAGACTTAGCAGCCTCGGTACTTCCAAAGAAGGACCCTGAAGAAACAAAAGAAATATCAGGTAAGCTGTGGAATTAACACTCAGACAATAACTATATATTAAGAAAATCTCAAACCATCTATATTTTTATTAGGTTATCGAGTTATATTTCATTTTTGTATGAGAAAAAAAGTATTAAACAAAGCCTAAATATAAAAATCTTGAAAACTCACCAAATAAAAAATAGAAATCGTCAGTAATCACATCTTTTGCCAAATTCTTAATATACAACACAGAAGCAGGATTTCCTGCTGTATAGTTCTGCACAAACCATCAGTTTAAAAATGCAAGTTCATCAACATACAATTGTACACCATGGAAGCTCTCACAAATTCAACAATTTGACCATTATTAAAACATGCACAGTTCCAATATTAGTAATCACAAATATCTGTCCATATCATGAACGTGCAGTGCATCAGATGCATTTAAATATTAGTAGTCACAAAGATCCATTAGATCAATCATTTCATCATCAAAAAATCCGGACGAAACCCTGATGAAAAACAAGAGTGGCAAGGTGGTGCAGTGAAAGTGCCAGCAACAAGAATTCCACTAATGAAACTAAAGTTTATTCCCTCAGGTGTGAATTATAAGCAAAAATAGTTAACATTTCTTAGAATAAAATAAAAACAAATATAAACAATTTATCTCTTATTTAATGACAGTATCTCTTTACTATAATCATACCCTTCATTTAATTTACCTAATTGTATTTCTAATAATGACTCAATTTATTAGTCTGAGGGTAACTTGGACAATTGACTTTTTTTTAATTGAAATTGAACATATTAAATATGATCAACTACCTTTTTCAATAGACGTAATTTAGTCCATTTTTGCTTATATTTCATTCTGAAAGGAGTCTTTTTCTAAGAAAAACTCATCAAGGGAGATTATAAAGATTAAGAACGGAAAATACAAGGCTACTTCAAAATTTATTTATAGATGTAAGCTGACAAACTTGTTTCCAATATAAATAGACATGATAGTTCCGGAATGTAAACAAAATGTAAATAAGATGATTTTCCCCTCCACTGAACCATGCGCGGCGGACCGGTAAAACTCATTAGTTTCATCGCTTGCTTTCAAGTGATCATCTTAAGGAAATTAATACAACTAATTAATAATGAATCCTGATTCCTGAAAGAAGTTTAAGTTTCCAACTTAAATTTAGAAACTTTTGTCTTCTAATATGCTGAGATAAGATCCATACCTTAAACATTGGAAGAGATAATATTTCCTCAGGAGGCAACTTTCCTCTCTCTAATTCTTCCGGAGTCAAAAACTTGTTGGGATCTAGAGTCTCTTTTTCTGGCTCTTGTAACTCTGGACTTGTGTCATTATCCTTATGTTCATTCAGGGTTGCTTTGGGAGCAATTTTGATCTGCAGAATTATAAGGAAAGATAAAATTATTAATAGCTTAAACACAATGTTAATATGCTCCTGCTACCAATCTTGAGAAAAGAAAATACCTTTAAGACAGGGTTCTTTTTTATCATCGGGATTTCTTTTGGGATCAAAGTGGCAGGTTTTACTCCAACAGACTCATGAGCCACATCTTTATCAATAGCAGGGCCAACTATAGCCCCATGCCTGGCACGCTTTCGCCCAGAATTTTGTGCTCTTGCTCCATCCTCCTAAAAAGCTTTTATTACTTTCCATTGATAATCAAATTTCACTAAAAGCAAGAAAAAGTATCTATCTCCTATTGGCACCATATAGTTGTAGGTTAATATTCATTGACATAATAATTTTGCTTCAATGGATGAGGTATTTTCCATGAAAAATAGACTCGGGTAAAGAATACATCACTAAATATATTGCTGGATGAAAAGCAAAACATAACGTCACATAGCAACTCAGAAAGATTAGGCTGTCATACAAAAGATCCAGAAAATAAAGAGGCTCGTTTGATCCCTAGCAAGCAGTGAAGATGTTACCTCATCTGAAGATCCCATTTCTGATTCATCACTAGACATATCTGCAGATTGAGGCTTCGCAGTTACAGAATGAGGAGGAGGCAAAGGTGGGGCTGAAACCTCTGGAGGTAATGGTGGTGTGGGTAGTGCCATACGAAAGGGGGGAGGAATGTTCATTTTGTTCATCAAGTGTAGAACCTATATTAAAGAGGTACAGTCAATATGACGGTTTCAGTTAAAAAAGAGCACACAGAAAATGATACGCGTGCTAGTAAGAGGAACCAATAAATCCTTGAAGCTTCATTTGAAAGCAGACCAACCTGAGTGTAAAAGCGGGGAACAGCAATTAGAGCATTGACAATGTTGGTCAGTATATTTCCATCCGGTGGAGGATAAGCATACCTGAAAAACAATCACTGTTACATTTATGGCAAACCGGACACAATGACTCTACACTTAAAAATCATTTTTTAAAACTAATCATATGTAATAACTTCCCAGATTGATAAAGGATAATAGGATACATAGTAGTACTAGTAAACATGATAAATGCTTGCAATACTTTCACAATTTTATGAGAATCCCACTAAAAAGAGAGGTGAGCACAGGTTTTTGGGGGACTCGCGTGAAATTCACCAAATCAATGAAAGTATTGAAAAAGTATTTAGCTAAAAGAATTCTAGTAAGATTAACACTCAAAACTACTAAGGCTTGACAGTTGAGGGAACCTGATTTGCATCTGTCAGTTAAACTAAAAGCTTAACAACTAAGCTAAGGCTGAATCAAGTCAAGTCTGAATTACAGGCATTATATGATATACACCGATAGAATACAAAAAGACAACAAATACTAACAACTGAAAAGTGACAATTAGAAGCATACTCAAGATGAGGAGGAAATGGATAATCAACACCAAGTCTATGGGCAATTGGCTCCTGAATAGGTTGGCCTCCCGATTTTGTGTCTCCATCAATAGGTTTAGTTACATTTTCATTCTTCACCGCTGGTGTATTAGAGTCTTTTCTTATCTGAGTTTCACTGCTTTTTTCCTCATTCGCAATTGGCTTACTAGCTTTCTCGGCTGACAAGACTTTACCAAGAAATTTCAACCTGATCAACCCCAACCAAACAAGGATACAATCATCAAAAGAATGGATTTATTTTTTACTCAGAATTTCTTGATATGTATTTTGCTTATAATATTGTAAAATCAGTTAATAACTAGAAAGGATATCACAATATCGAAACATATCTCTGTAAACCAATTGCATGTATTGGATTATTAAAAATGAATACCCATTTAGTTGGCGCTGTGCTTGAGATGCCAGCATGTCATTTTTGAAATCCACAAAAGCACAATTTCTCAACCTGCATTAGATCAAGCAATTATGAGCTACGCATTGTTTGACCGTAATCATGAATATAAATGAATGAATTGGAAAAAAACAGCAATATGAATTGGTGAATGATACCTTCCACCAGAACAAGGGCGAACGGAGGAAGCTCCGTAATGGGCCAAGAGTCGAGAAAGAGTGTCATGAGGAATAGCGTCTGGAAGGTGTTTGATTAAAAGCGTAGCCGATGAGTCCAACGCAGAAGTGTTCGGTTCCGTGGTGCCTTGAAATCCAAGTTGAAGCGAAGGATTAGCAGCCATGAAATGTTAAACAATTTTTCGCCAGTTTGATTTTTCCTGTGTCATGGGAAGACATAACAAAATAAGAAACGTATTTGAAGAGAGTGCTGAGCATTTGAAATTGAAAGAAACAAATTTAAAAATTGAAGAGAGGGTAAAGTTACCGAAGGTGGATGGATTCTAATCCGTAGATAAATATCTGCTACTATGAGGTTGATGGTAATAGCTAATAGGAAGAAAAATTGTGAGATGTAATCTAAATATGAAGTTATTTATTTCAGTGCTTTATTATACTCAAATGAATAGAAACTTTGAAGTCATAAACAAAAGTCTAAGAGAATAATACATCAAGTGTCACTTAAAGTCACACATTGATTATAAATTGATTATTTATAAACGGAAAAATTCAAACATCTATCATCTTAAGGTTTTGCATGAATATGTGATGTGTTTTTTTATTTGTATTATTTTTGATCTAATGTTCAATGTTCTTTAGTGAAAACTCTTCCACCAATAATTATTTTTAAATCTCAAATCATGCACAAAGCCTAAATCACGTTTTTCTTTTGTGCTTATTCAAATTCACCTAAAGGAGGGACATTAATTACACTTTAGGGATGAAAAAAAATTCATATTCGCTGGTATTTACGGATAAAATGCGTCACGAATATGAGGCGGATAGTTTAATAGATATTTATGGATAAAATAAATAAAGATTTAAATATTTATTTTTTAATAGATATGGATACGAATTTAATGATAGTTGTCTCCACATATATCTATATCGGTTAATAAACTAAAAATTATTTAAATATCATTAATTTAAATTATTTAAAGAAGGAAATTAAACTTGTGATGAAGAAAATTAATGTGACGAAATTTCGTTATTAAAATAAGAGGGAATTGTGTATGGATTTTATGTCATAATAACTTTTTGCGTTTTAAAAAAAAATTGAATAATTTTTTTATCGAAAAATAATTTTTTTAAAAAAATATTATTTATAGATATCTGTCAATTTTAAAATTCGCAAATTATCAATTTAAAGAATATCTTCACTTATATGAGACGGATATGAATATCATATTTATCAAATAAGATAGACACAAATATCATATTATTCGTCCTCATACATATTCATTTATATGTCCGTTTAAACTTACAATCTATTAGGTTTCTAAGACAAAATGATGTTTTTGTTCAAAATTATTGAAATATGATGCATAGTCAACTAAATAGCTTAAACAAAGAAATACTAGTAGCTTTAGAGAATAATGACAAGATAGTCAAAATGAAAGAACTCCAATTAGGGAATTCAGTTTGGAAAATAATTTTACCAATCAATACTAAATTTAGAAGCCTTAGGAAATAATCCCCAAATTGAAAATGACCTTTTATTATTGAGAAAGTATTTTTAAATAATACTTATTTAATTTATTATTGAGAAAGTATTTTTAAATAATACTTATTTAATTTGAAATATGGATCGAATAATCGAACTCTATCCATAAATAAAAAAAATATTAAAAATATTTTAAACTTAGGTGTACTTATTCGTAGGGGTGGCAAAATGGATGGATCGGATGTATATCAAATGTTAATTGAAGAATCAAAACAATTCATTAGTCTATTAACAATCCACTAAATTTTTTTTAAAATTATCAAATTCAATTCATCCGTTATGAATAAAATTCATTCAATCCATCCATTAAAATATTTTTAATGAATGAATATCCATCCATCTATTTTTTTTTTAAATCGATTTCATTTTATTTTTGAAAAACTTATTTTTGTATTTTAAAATTTTTTTTAATATATTTATGAAATTTTTTAATTTTTTGTTTAAAAAAATCATTTTTTGTATTTTCAAGAAAAATATTGTATTTTCTGAAGAAAAAAAATCAATTTTTTGTATTTTCGAAAAATCAATTTATTTTTCGGGAAAAATCGAATTTTTGTGTTTTTCAAAAAATCAACTTTTTGATTTTTGAAAAAAAATGGTTCTTTTTTCGAGAAAAAAATTAATTTTTTGGGAAAATTCGACCTTTTGTATTTTTTAAAAAATTGATATTTTAATTTTCGAAAAAAATCAGTTTTTTTGGAGGAAAAAAAGTCATTTTTTTAAAAAAATTCGACTTTTTTGTATTTTCCAAAAAATTGATATTTTAATTTTTTTTCATAAAAAAATTGGTTTTTTTCCGAAATAAAAAATTGATTTTTTTATTTTAAAAAAATATTGGTCTTTTTTTCAAAAAAATGGTTTTTTCCAAAAAAAGTCAATTCTTTTCTTAAAAAAATTAATTTTATTTATTTTTTTAAAAAATAAATCTAAAAGAAATAAAAATTATCCATTGAATATTTAAAATATGTTGGATGAATTGAATCAATCAATGCATATAAATGAATGGATTTAATTCAATCCATTAACTTACTTTTTATATGGTAGATAAATTAGATAAATTTTTTGATGAATAGATTGAATGAATTTTATCTTAATAGATCAAATTATCATCTCAACTTATTTATGAGATAAAAATAGGATAAAGTCACGTTATTAATAGAATGGCTAGATACACTTCACATGCACTCACAAAAGAACAAAAAGGCTTAAATTAAAATTACACTAAAAGACTAACATTTAGAGAAATATAAAAAGGAAATTTTCTACATGAGCTTCTTTATGTAGAGGAAGAGGCATTTTTTCTACCATTATTTTTAAAAACAGAGTGTACAAGTTAAAATAAAAGTGCACACACAATTAGGGATATAAATGGATATCTATGATAACGGATATTATGATATACATATTCACTCCTTTGGATAAATATGATATACATATCCACTACATATTCATGTGGATATCCGTTAAGCGGGTAATTCGTGAGTTTTACGATATCCGCGGATATTTACAAATATCTGTGGATAATATTTTTTTATAAAAATTATTTTTTGAAAAAAATATGTTTAACTTCTTTTAAAGATACAAAAATTTATTACCACATAACATCCATAAATTCGCTCTTAATTTAACAATAAAATTTTATCACATTGATTTTCTTCTTATTTACCAAAGCATAATTAGATCCAAATATAATATTCATACATTTTATTTTTAACCAAACACATAAAAGATATTGTGATTATGAGTTATGATGAAAGAGCGGACGGCAGAGAAGTAGAAAGGGAGACACTGATTCGACATGTTGTATAGAGTATTGAAGAGTTTAAATATGAAATGTCTAATAGAATTTGAATGAAATTTGAAAGGTTTTTTTCAAAGAAAATTAAAAAAAAAAAAAAAAGAAATATAAGAAGACTAATTTTTTTTTAAAAGATGAAAAGATAAGGTATATTAAATTAATGATTTTTATAATTTATTAACAGATATAAATATCCGCGGGTACGAATATCATTAAACTTATACACATATCTATTAAAGATAAGGTATATTAAATTTTGATATTAAAACAACAATATTAAAATAATTTAAAAATATTAATAAATTAAACATAATGTTCAGACACAAACAATATACTGCATATCCGAATTTACGAATCTTGATAAATGGTAAGGTTGTGGTGGAAAAGCAAGAATGTGTGTTAGTGATAATTAAAGTATGATTTCTGGATAGTTGGAAGGACCATAAGTATTTTTAATGGGATTAGTGGTGCTGCAGGTGTTGCCCTATAGGGAGTTAGAGTATGGCTTGAGTAGCTTGATTTCTGCAAGCCAAACACACTAACTTAAGCATCAATTTGACATTTTATGGTGAATGCGAAAAATAAAAACACGGGCTGATAAAAAAATCTCATAAATTGTAAATGAGAAATGATGGGATCACACTCAAAATCACAGCTACACCGTATGTACATACTATTACATGTAATTTTTGTTTTTTTAGATATTTTTTCCTTGTCTTAATTTGTGTGCCATTTTTAAAATGCTTTGAAATAGGGGTTGAGATCCACTCCATTTCTTTGTCCTTCTATTTTTTCTATTATTATAGTTTTTATGTATATAAAATTAACTAAATATTAATTATATGTCACATGTCTTAGAAATGTGTGTTATTTACACGTAAAACTATAATAATGGAGAAAATAGAGAGACAAAGAAATGGAGTGGATCTCAACCCTTAAAATAGTTATGACGTAGATAATTTAGTGTTAACATAGCAAAGCTCATTGTAAAATAATGGAAGTAAAGTGCATTTATAGTTACTAATGAGTCATATTTTTTTAGTTTTATCCAAGTATTTATATCAATTTCATAATCATTTATAGTTTGTAATAATTAATTAAATAGACTTTTCTAGAAAATTCACATATTATATCTTATATTTAAAAATTATTAAGTCACTTAAAATTATATATATATATATATATATATATATATATATATATATATATATATATATATATATATATATATATATATATATATTTATTTATTTATTTATTTATTTATTTATTTATTTATTAGTATTATTTATTTCACTCACTAGCATTTTTTTAAGGTATTTTTTACTATTTTCTATTTATATTTATATTTATTGATATTTATAATTTGTTTCATGTTTAATTTGAAATGGATACAATATATTTGTTGAAATATTAGATATAATTCAAGTTGTATTATGTGACCTAAGCCCAAAACAAATTAGGTTTATGGTTTGTTATTTTAGTACATATAAATAGACACTTTGTAATTCAGTTTTATTAATTCAATAATATCCATCATTGTTTCTTTATTTTCTCTCTTTCTCTTCTCACTAAAAGTGTCTCACGCACTAACAAATTGGTATCTAGAGCTCTGGTTAGATTCTTAATAGTGTTTCAAGAATCACACGTCAGAGACCGTGTTTTTGGAATCGTGGGTTATTATTGATCAATCGCTGCAAAGATGAATGGTAACAGAAATTTATCAAACTCTCTTTCAACTCTCGACGACAAGAGTTGACTCTGATAGAGAAAATAGATGCAATCTCTATTTGCCTTTCATGAAACCCTAGAAGTGGTTACAA